CTTCAGGATCCCATCCCAGATACCTCATTACACTTAGACTCCTCTTTACTGTGACTTATTCTGAGAATTTTTTTTTTTTTTTTTTTTTTTTTTGATGAACTTGACAGTTTTGAGGGGTACTGGTCAGGTATGTTGTAGAATGTCCATCATTGGGATTTGTCTAATGTTCTGCTCATTAGATTGTGGTTACGTGTTCTGGAAGCAAGACCACAGAGGTAGAATGCCAATCTTATCATGTCATCAGCACGATTTATCACTGTTGGTCCCTTGATCACCTGGCTGAGATAATACTTGTCAGGTTTCTCTACTGTAGAGTTACCTGCCCCGTCCCTCTATCCATTCCGTATTCTTTGGAAGGAAGTTACTATGCACAGCCCACACTTAAGGAGCAGGGAGTTATGGCCCACCTCTCTGAGGCAGAGGGTTTACATAATTATTTGAAGTTCTTACTTATCTGTTCATTTATTCATATCAGTATGGACTCAAGGCTAATCACCTCTTAAAAGTCTTACCTCTTAACACCATCACCTTGGTGATCAAGCTTCCAACACATGAGCTTAGCAGGACACATTCAAACCATAGCACTGCCTATGGCCTGTAATCTGACAAGGAGTCCTTAAAATGAAACTTTGCAGGGTTGATTACACTAAAACATGTCTCTTGAGCAGATCCTAGTACAACTCATTGCGCACTGTATTGAATGTTAAGGTCTGTCCTTCATTCTAAGACTAAACCCTTCCTTCTTTACTGCAATAGAATTTTTCTCTTTTTGTGAAATGATAGTGATGGTAGATGGTATTTGCCTTTTTAAATATCTTTATTCAGCAAAATAAAATATTGGCAACCTGTCTCCATTTCCACATTTTTATGGGTATGATCATGTGCCACATAACATTTTGGTCAACAACGGGCTGCCTATATGACAGTGTTAGGAGCAAAAGGCTATTCCATATAGCCTAGGTATGTAGTAGACTACACCATCTAGGTTTGTGTAAGTACCTTCTGTGATGTGTGCACAAAGAGATGGAATCACCTAACGGACGCATTTCTTGACATATCTGCATGGTTAAACAACACATGACTGTATTTGAAATCCCACAGTCTGGGACTTAAGGCACAGCTCTGGCCTTGGGAAGATTTCCAGATAGAGAGTCAGAACCCAGAAAGGGGTGGGATCCAGGAGGCCCTCAGTTTCCAGCTCTCCAACTGACCCAGCCTTGTTATGAGGCCTCACTGAGCAATCAAAACATTATCAACAAACAAAAAAGTTTATTGACTACAAAACCAAAAGGGATAGGGAGACCTGGGCCCAAGAGATCCATGGCAGGGAGTAGAGGGCTCTTCAGGGTCGCTCTGGGCAGCCCTGGAAGAAGTCGTTGCACATGATAGTGATGAGGGCCAGAAAAACAGCGTACTCCTGGAAGTCCACCTGCTGGTCGCTGTTCTCATCGAGGTTGCCCATCAGCTTCTTCAGCCCCTCCTCATCCACCTTCTCCTGAGAGCAAGAGGGGACGGGGTCATCACCAAGCCAGCCCCCAGCCCCAATTCCACACCAAACACTCACCCAGGCCCCACACACACTCACAGGCCAGTGCCCAGCTCTCCCTCCCTACTGGGCAGCTCGGTACATGGTGGGCAGGGACCCCTGAGAGCTACTAAACGGACCCAGCGAGTAAGTATAGAGAGACATTCATTGGCAAGAGTCTGCAGCACACCCTGCTGGAGCGGGAGGACACTGGGCACTCCTCTAAGCACATGTCAGCTTGGATCCACACCGAAGCCCAGACAAGTAGCTATCACTCCCTGACTGTGCCAATGAGGACACTGAGCTTGCTGCTCCCCATCACCAGCAGGATGGATTTAGAAAAGGCAAACTCTTTTTAACAGCAAACAAAATGATTAGAAAAGTTTAACCGAAAACAAAAGCAAAACAGAAAAAAAAGAAAGAAGTGCCTCATATGTTCAAAGCCTGAAACATGACTTGAGGATTACCCGTGAGTCAGTATAGGGAGGGCGAGGGGCAAATTGAGAGTTGACTGCATTTCTCTGCAACATGTCCCAGGGTGCGTAGCTGGGCTTTTCTCTCCCTGCACACTCTCTTAGTTTAGCATATAAATATGGAAGAGGACAGAGAGAAAGAGAGAGAGCGCGTGCACACTGTGTGATCTTGGGCCGGTCACTTCCCCTTTCTGGGTTCTGGATTGCTGAGGTCCCTGACAGCGTGCAGTCCTCTGGAATGCTGCAGGGAACAGCCATTAACAGGGCACTCATACACGGACCTTACTCCCACTTTGGTGGGGCCATGAAGCAAAAGTGGGGAGAGGGGAAGGGCTTGGACCCACCCTGGTGTCTGCAACAGCAGGCACCCAGGAATGTGGGGAAGGAAGAGATTTAACCTGGGTGCCCACACTCACACCGGGACCTCCCTCCCCAGACCCACCCCACTCACCCCCACAAAGCTGGGCAGCTCCTTGTGCAGAAGTTCCTTCATCTCCCCCTTACTCAGCTTGAACTTGTCGCCCTCTTGGCCAGAGTACTTGTGGAAGGTGGTGACCATCACGGCCAGCGCCTGCTCCAGGGGACTGGACATCTTGGATCTGGGGTCGCAGAGATGGCAGGTGATGGAGACACCACCAGGGCTCTTGGGACCCACTTCTGCTCTGTGCCCCAAACTGTTTCACCAAACCCCTCTCAGTGCATGAAGGCAGGGGCTGCATCTCCCCTACAGACTGTGGCTCCCTGAGGGCAGAGACCACCCCTCCACCTCAGATGCAAAACCTTCCCCTGTGTCTGGGAGCCACCAAAGGAACAACCTCAGGTCTCCTCCCATCACACCTGGGATACACCCCTGAGGGCAGGCTCCCCCCTCCCCTGCTGAATGTCTGTGGGAAGGGAAATGCCAGGGTGACCAGAGCCCCATTTTAACTACTGTCTGTGCCAAGCACCATGGAGCATGGGCACGTCCCAGGCCCAGCTACTGGGGAATCCTTGTGTCAGCAGTAGGCATGGCTACAGTTTAGGAGTATGAGGCTCCCAAAGGACCTATTTCCGTCCTCAGACTAGGGGCTCCTGAAGCTAGAGGGTGTCTCTCTCTGCCATCTAACCAGAAGCTCCCTTGGGCAGGAAGGTTTCTTCCCTCGTACTAGGGCTCTCAGAGGGTAGGGAATGTGTCTCCCTTCACACTGGAGGCCCCTGAGTTGTGGGTGCTGTCTCTATGCAGACAGGGCCTGAGTAATGTGGGGGCAACTGAAATCCTCCCCACCAGGAAGGATTCTGTGGGATTAAAATTAAAGAAACTAGATGTCCAATGCCTTGGTATCAGGACGGAATCTGGGGACACAGGACAGACCTCAGAGGTCATCTTTTCCAAGGCCCTGCCTCTGAAAATGCTCAGACAAGCCTGGAGGGGTAGGTAGTTCCCAGATGAGGCCAGAGGAGCTGGTGCCAGAGGCAGGGAAAGCCTTGGGCCCATCCTGCCAGCTCCACCCTCACCGAGGCAGAAGAGGACGGGAAGCGGCAGTGAGCAGAGCTATGCCCTACACAGGGCCCTGGGACCCAGGCAGGCCATGAGCTTGAGACCCCTGCCTCTTGCTCCTTAGTCCTGCTAGAATCCAGGACTTCACAAAAAATGAAAACAAAACAAACTCAGCATTCTTGCTAAAGGATCCCCAAACATACATCTCCTACTTCTTGGAATAGACTTCCAAAGAAGGGCCCCTTGAATGAAATACCCAGAGACGCACAGAGGAACCCCCAAAATGAGAGACCCAAGAGAGGGCCTCAGAGTAGCCCCTAAACTGACACCTAGAAAAAGACCACTCAATCTGACACTTCAGAGAGGGTCTCTCCCATTTGGAGAGGCCCCAAGCTGATCCCACTAAAGAAGCCAGAGTGAGAAAACTTTGGAGACAAAGATCAAGACAAAGGGACAAAGGCAGAGACCCAGGGGGGGTCCTCCCCACCCAGCTCCCAGCAGAACAGAAGCACTCACCAAACCAAGTGGCAGAGAGAGACCCAGGAAGGAAAGCAGAGTGGCCCAGCACCCAAGTGGGGATTTATATGCCAGCCCTGCCAGCCCACAACTTGGCATTTTAAGGAAACCAAACCTGCCCTAACTTGATCCCGCCAAAGCCTAGTCTCCTGCCACCCCCACCTACTCCCCCAACCCCCTCCCTCCCAGAGGCCACCAGCTCCACCACCAGCTAGAGGAGGGCTCTAGGCCCACCATGGGCAGCCCCTGAGCCCACCCAGGCCACAGCAGGGGGTGAGAGGTGTCATGGGGAAGGGGTAGCCTGGGCCAGGGGTGAGGGAGGCAGCCCCTGTTCTGGGACCTGGAGATTCATGCCAGGCCTCATTCTGGTAACATGACTGTGAGTCACAGCTCAATGCTGTGTCAGAGGCTGTGGGCACTCACAGGGACTTCGCAGACCTGTGCTCATGTGCATGTTTGTGCCGGCATGGGTGTGTGTGTCCATGTGCGTGCGTGCGTGCGTGCGTGTGTGTGTGTGTGTGTGTGAAAGAAACAGTGTGGGGCCACCCTTAGAAAGCTGGAGGCCAGAGAAGGCAGCTGGGGGGCATCGAGAGGAGGACAGGGCTGACTTCAGGGGGTGGGAGAAATAAACTTACCTTTAATGGCCAGCATCAGAATACCTCCTAATGAGGTAACTGGGTGTGCTTAAAAATACCTGGAAAGGCCCTCTTGTGTAGGATGCGTCTGGAAGGACTGGGGAAGCATGACAAATGGAGGCTGCTCTGCATACAACGCAGTTGGGGTGAGCCACAGTCTGTGCAGAGCGTAAGGAAGGCCCAGAGGGAGAACAGGAAAACTCTGGCCTCCGCTTCTCCAGCTCGCGGGGCTAACGGGGGTTGTGAGTGGGCAGGGGAGACAACCCCACGGACAGCTGAAAATACGGGTTGGACAGCTCCCCAAGCCAGGAGGCCAGATCTGTGGCAGAGGCAGCCCTCCCTCACTGCCCCCCCTACACACACACGCACACTCACACACACACATGCGCACACACATGCGCACGCCTCCCATACACAGAGAAGGGCCAACACTGAGGCCATTCAGAGCCCAGCCCAGGGGAGGGGTGTACAAGGAACAGCCATCTTCATATTGCCCCCTCCCAGGCCCCTTTCTCCTCCTGTTCTTTGTCTCTCCCAACCCCCATCTGGGCAACGCCCTTCCTGTGGGCCCAGCCCCCACCTCCAGATGTCAAGCAGCTTCTTTCTCCTCCCCCAACCTCTCCCCACAAGTCCTAGGTGACTCACCCGTGGTTCCAGGCCCAGATGCCCAGGCTGTGACTCAGCGGCACCGCCCTCCTTCCTCAGGCCCAGGGCAGCAGGCAGAAACCGCAGTGAGAGCACAGGTTTGGAGACCCTTTGCCAGGCCTTCCTGGGGGAGCTTTGGATTATGACACTGCAGAAAGATCAGACTGAAAACAGGCTGGTCTCTTCCTGGGGATCACTATGGGGCTTGGGGGCCAGCCCGAGCAGCATGGATGAAGTCAGGCCCTGGGGCCCACAGTGTCCTCTTCTGTACCTTTGCACAGCCACCAGTGTTCCCTCCTCCCCAAAGCACTTGAACTCCTCATGCTACTTCTCTTCCCAGCAAAACCTACTTCAGGTAGAACTCAGAATAACAATCCCTCACACTGAGGGTAAGGACCCGTGGGGTGCAACACATGGCTTTCCACAGCTATTCTTCCTTTTAACTAAGAGCTTCAGCAGGTCCCTTCCTGCTCTTCCGTAGAGCAGGCAGTGAGGTGCTCCAGACTGGCCCAACTGCTTTCCGACCACCCTGCACACACCCTAACTGCCTTGCTCATTGTGCTTTGAACACATGGTACCTGCACCTAGTATGGTGAGACCCTTTGCTTATGCTGACCCCTGTGCTCAGAATGTACTCACACACACCCACGCCATATCTCCTTCTGCTGAAATCCCACCTGTCCCTCAAAGGCCAGTTAAATGCCACCTATTCCGTGGAACCAGGTTCGGTGTCTACCTGTTCTGCCCTGTACAAAGCGGTCCTTTTGTCCTTCTCTTGTGTACTTAGAACATTCTGATTTAGGTGACTCATTCGTGTACTCGTTTTCTTTCACTCTCACCCCCATGTGGTGAGCTCACTGGGCAGGGACTGGGTCTTATTCATTTCTGTGTGAGCAAAAGATCTCACCCACGCCAGGTGCCAACCAGCGTTTACAGCTACTGAATGGCAATGCAGGTCACAGGGGCATAGTATTTAGGAGCCAGGGAGTCCTTCTCACCATCTGAATTCACGCCACTGATTACACTACCAAACAATAACTTCTCTGAATCCCAGGAGTGGAACTGAGACACCGGGTTGGAAAACAGCTTCAGAGAGCTACAAATCCCTGAGGAGTAACTGCAGGAAACATCCAGCTCCAGGGACCCAGCGAGGGACATGAGCAAACTCCCCAGCGGGCAAGGATGGAGACAGGAGGCAGACAGTGGGGACAAAGAGGCAGTCAGAGGGAAAAGTCAGAGGGAACAAGAGGAGAGAGGGGTAGGGAGAGCCGGCTGGGCTGCTGATTACAAAGGGCAGCACCAGGAGGCCTGTCCACAATCAGGTGTCTCGTCTCAGGAGCAGAGGACAGGACTGTGCCCATCGATGGCCATGTTTCTAAGGCTGGTGAAAATCGCATTAATATGCATGAACTTGCTGTGCGACCCTGAAGAACTCCCTGCCCCACGGCAGGACATGAGAGTTGGATGGAACAACCCCTAGAGTCCGATCCCGCTTTGACAGTCTCCAGTTCTGGACAAACGCAGACAAAGGCAGGCAGTGGGGTCATCCAAGGCACTGATTCTTCCCATGCCCAGCCTGATAAGCTGGGTTCTCAGTTTCCCTCCAACCCCTAGCCAGGGTCCAGGTACCGGAAGTTTCCCACCAGCGGTGGGCTGGGTTTTGCCCGTCTGGTTTGTGCCCCCTGGTGGTTGAGACGAGTCATTGCCGCGCTGGTCTCCACTCTCCCTCTTCCCCGCCTTGTTCTCCGCCCCGCCCCCCACCTGCATCCCCA